CAGGCGCCCCTCCTGTCTCCTTTTAAATTTCACTTCCTCCAGGAAGCCCACCTTGATTTCTGTCCTGCCAGATCAGGGCCCTCTCTTTACTTCCTCATTATTCTTATTTCCCTTTGTGATGATCTTTATTCCATACCTGCCTCCTTCGCCCGACTGTGTGTCTGTCCTGTCACCTCCGTGTTACCAGCACCCACACGCATCTGGTGCAGTGTGGCAGAATGACTCAGGTGGCTTTTCTGTGCCCCTTTCAGACATAAAAAAAAAAATAACATTAGTGTCATTTACGGAGTGCATCCTTAACTGTGTGCCAGGCACTGTGCCATGCATCCTACACATCCAGTCTCCTCTGATTCTTATACCAGCTTTAGGTGGTAAATATCAACACAATCCCCATTTTCCAGATGTGGGAACTGAGGCTGAGGCCGGGAAAGCGGCTTAAGGCTGCCAGCTAGGAAGTGGCCGAGTCACTGTTCAAAGCCAGACCCACCCCTCTCCAGAGTCCACTTGGCTAGACTGGCTCAACCAGGGGGTTCAAGGTTAGCCTGGGAAGGACCGGTGGCCCAGGAGTGTGCCGTGGGGCTGGGTGGAGCTGGGCTGGCAGGTGGGCTGGCTCCTCCTCCTGAACAGCCAGGGGCTTGGGGATAAGCAGGTGGTCCCAGGAGGTGCCTGAGGCTGCTTGGGGTCAGGCACGTGAAGGAAAAAGTATGACGCTCTGCCTTTGCCCCTTGTCCTGCAGAAGGCCAGTGGGACCTGCAACACCAATTTCAAGAAGACCCAGGAGCTGGAGCAGGTGACAAAGGTGTTGGAGGACTTTGTGGACGGGAACCGTGGAATCCTGGTGAGCGGGACACCCATGCCCCGAATTTAGCAGCTTAAGACCATTGCCATCATCATTGCTCCTAAGGCAATGGTCTTCTGCTGTAGGCCCAGGCTGGCCGATAGTGGCCTGCCTTGCTTACCATCTGCGGTCAGCTGGTGGCTTGGCCGGAGCTGGCTGGACCAGGAGGGTCCTGCTCACATGTCGGCTCACGACTTGGCCACTTGTCTCTCATGCTTCAGCAGGCAAGCCTGGGCGCGTTCTCGGGTGGAAGCAGGTGGCCCAGAGAACGAGTGAAAATGCAAGATGTCTCGATGGCTCAGAATGGCCACCATCATTTCTGCCTCGTTTTTTTGGCCAGAGCAAGTCCTCGGACCAAGCCGAGGTTAAAGGGACTCAGACTCCACCTCTTGGTTAGAGGAGCTGCTAGGAATTGTAGATATTCATGTAATGTCCCAACCATACTCTGCTCTGTGCCATCCAGAGGCATCCAAGCCTCCGCCCACCTTGCATTTTCCCTGCGGCTCCCCTGATCCCATCCTGGCAGGGTTCTGCCCGCTCCTTTGGGGGTATAGGATGTCCGTTCTCGAGGCGGGGAAGGACCCACAGAGTCCCTGTGCTAACCAAGAAGTGCTCCTTCTCACACAGAGAAAGTACGTGGCTCGCCTGGAAGAACTCCGAGAGGCTCTGGAGAACTCCCCCTTCTTCAAGACCCACGAGGTGCGAGCCCCAGGTGTTGTGGGAGCCGAAGGCCCTGTGGGGGGCTGGGGGGGCAGGGGGGTGTCAGCATCTGGGTGGCACTGAAGAGAAACCGCTGACAGAGTTACAGGGCAGAGCTATTAAGAGGAACCCCCATGTTTTGGGGTTTGCTTTTTAGGGTAGGCAGCAGAGTGGGTTTTAGGGAGATGGGATAGTTCAGAACATGGGCTCGAGCCAGGGGGTCTGCAAAGAAGGCTGTTTGTCACTGGGCACGCGACTTACCCTCTAGGGCCTCAGCTTCCTCCTAACACAGGGAAAAAATGGTTTTTTGTTTATTTATTTGAGAGAGAGAGTGTGAGAGTGAAAGAGAGAGCATGAGCAGGGGGAGCGGCAGGCAGAGGGAGAGGGAGAAGCAGTCTCCCCGCTGAGCAGGGAGCCCGACGTGGGGCTTGATCCCACGACCCTGGGATCATGACCTGAGCTGAAGGCAGACACCTAACCAACCGAGCCACCCAGGCGCCCTAACTTCTTGCTCTTAAGATTACTTTGTAATCGGGCGCCTGGGTGGCTCAGTTGGTTAAGCGACTGCCTTCGGCTCAGGTCATGATCCTGGAGTCCCGGGATCGAGTCCCGCATCGGGCTCCATGCTCGGCAGGGAGTCTGCTTCTCCCTCTGACCCTCCCCCCTCTCATGTGCTCTCTCTCATTCTCTCTCAAATAAATAAAATCTTAAAAAAAAAAAAAAAGATTACTTTGTAATCATAATTATTTCCAGTTACCAGTGTCTGCCTTCCTGTTTGGTGGCTCTCACCCCCTCTGCAGCCTGTGTCTCTTTGGAAACATTCATTTCTCTGGGCTGTCGCAGGAAGTCTGTGAAGTGGTGACCTCAGTGCGTGTGGGTGTCCTCTCCCTCCTCTCTCCAAGCTCTTCCACCACCCCCGCTCAGGTCCCCCTCACTTTTTTTCCCGGCGTCCCCGACTTCCCGTAGATCCCTGATCTGGGAGTTGGGCCTCCGGGTTCAAACCGCGGTCTGCACTCCCCAGCCCCCTGAGCCTGGGACCTGTCTCCCGACAGGCAGGATGGGCTAGCAGAGCCCCTGCCTCCTGGGTGGGGTGAGGATAAGGCGGGTTAATACATGGAAGGGTGGCCCATGGTCCACCCTCAGTATTCGCCAGCCGGGACTATCCTGTTCATTATCATCAAATGGCACCCTCATGGTCCTCGTCTCTGCCCTTGGGCTCTAAGCGCCACGTCCCGAAGAGGAGGCCCAGGGATCTCATCTCTTCTGTGCTCCTGTTCGGTTTCACCCACCTGGTGACTTAGCATTTTAAAAAGTGAGTTGCCAGCACCTAAAACATAAGACTTGACCCGAGTAGGGACATCCGGTTTCCCGGGCCCGCTGGGAGATGTGGCCCCAGCTGGGCCGCTCGCCGTACGCCAACAGCCAAACGGAGTGGGGCAGCGACTGCCTCTCCTGACAGCCACCTGCTCACCTGCCCGGTCACCTGGGTTCTCTGGGAGCAGTGGGGTTTGAAACCCGACTAGAAAAGGGGAGGGCCTTGCACACCTGGAGTTCCATGAAGGCAACGAAAGTACTATTTCTAATTTTAACCCTACCCGCCCCCACCAGCATCTACCGAGGGCTGTGTGTCCAGCACCGCAAGGCACTTGGAGAGCGTGTGTGCGTCGTGGAATGCTGCCAATGACCTTAGCAGCTAGGGGAGGGGGGCTCTTAGCATCCGCACCAGCAGCAGTCCGCGGGGGCTGAGCGCTTCTTCCACGGGGGGAGGCGTCGGGCGCTCTTGACCCATGCGAGATCCTGCAGGCACCTGCGTTTGTACCCCAGCGTGAAAAAGGGTAAAAAGGCAGAGCCGGGATTTGAACCCAGACAGCCGGGCTCCGGAGTTCATGCTGTCAAGCGCCCTGCTCAGCTGCCTGTTGGGGAGGGGGCCCGAGCCGATGCCCGTTCTCCCGCTAACCTCCGAGCTCTTTCCCTGCAGGTGGTGGGCAGCTCCCTCCTCTTCGTGCATGACCACACCGGCCTGGCCAGGGTCTGGATGATTGACTTCGGCAAGACAGTGGCCCTGCCCGACCACCAGACGCTCAGCCACCGGCTGCCCTGGGCCGAGGGCAACCGCGAGGATGGGTACCTCTGGGGTCTGGACAACCTGATCCACCTCCTTCAGGGGCTGGCCCAGGGCTGACCCACTTGCCCACTGCCAGGTTTATTTATTGGATGGTGCCTGTCTGGCTGGCGGTGCCCCGAGACTGGCCACAGGGGGTGGGGTGGGGGCTGATCGCGGGGATGGGAGAGGTTGTGTTTTAGAGCACGCGAGACCAGAGCGGAAGGTCCGAAGGGCCTGGGAGACCAGGTAGCGTCCGGCCCTTTCATGGTAGGGAGGTTTTAAAGACTGGAGCAGGGGTGTGACATGGCCACATCCCATGGTGAATCAGAACCAGACTGGGTCCTCCGACCAGCCAGGAAAGTTTCTGAGGGGCTGCTGGAGACCGTAACTAAACCGTGAGCCCTGACAGAACACAGTTCAGATGCCACAGGGCACCTGCGTGACATGGTGCCTCTCGCCGTAGGAATGACTGTTATCACGGCCTCCTTGCCAGCCCCCTCCGGGCCGCAGGCTGGCTCCCGGAGGCCTGGGGAAGGTCAGCTTCATCCCTGGTGCGCCGGAGAACCAGCCCTCACCGTGCACAAAGGCAGGGGCCACCTGTCTGCCTGGGAGAGTTCTGGCCCCATCCGTTCATCCGGGAGCCATTCCAGCGCTGACACTCGGGGGAGGGTGTGACGCCATGGGGCTGGGCTGAGAGCTGCTGCCGTGGGGCGGGACCCGGTTCTCCCTGTCCTGCCCTCCCCTGGCCCCATGGGATCCTCCCTGCTCTTGGAAGAACTCTGCTGACCCCCCTGCAGAAGCCAGACCATAGCCACGTTGCGTGCCCGGCACTGTGACCGGCACCACCTCGCGCCTCGGGCACCAGCCTCAGCCTTGGGACCTCCTCCTCCCACCCCTTACCCCCTTTCCCTTGCTATCCTAGCCGGCTGGTGGCGGGAAGGGCTTTCAGCCACGGAAAAGCAGGTTTGGGAAGCAGAGCTGCCTTCCTCCAGGGGTGCAGGGTAGGTGGGGCCGCTGGCTGTGGCCCCGGGGCTCGCGGCCTGCTCCAAACCAGAGACCCTAGCGCCGCCATGCGTGGGTGACGCCCCTCCATCCCCCTCCTCCTGCACCTCTGCCTTTGGCTTCCTAGCTTCAGAGGCTGGGAACCAGGCACCTCCCTCTTCCCTAAGCTGAAGCTCGAACGTGTCTTCCAGGCCTGAGGAGGTGTGCTCCTTTTCTACTGACCACCTTTATACTTACTTATCCGAGAGAGGTAGTCGTTAGCTGGGGCAGCGTTCCGAACAGGAGGCAGAATCCCTTCAAGTGCTTTCCCCTCCATGACGACGCCCCAATAAATCGCACAGTCGGTCAACTTTATGGACTTTTTTCTTTCTTTCTTTTTTTTTTAAAAATATTTTATTTATTTATTTGACAGCGAGAGACACAGCGAGAGAGGGAATACAAGCAGGGGGAGTGGGAGAGGGAGAAGCAGGCTCCCCGCAGAGCAGGGAGCCCGGTGCGGGACTCGAACCCAGGACCCTGGGATCATGACCTGAGCCGAAGGCAGACGCTTAACGACTGAGCCACCCAGGCGCCCTGGACTTTTTTCTTTTATGTCTGGGGTGTGTGGGCTCAAAGCTCCCAGTTTCACCATTAGTGCCAGGTGGGGGCATGGGATCATGAGTGGTTTGGGATGCAGAGCAAGCCGGTTCATCCAGTCAGCATCCACCCAGCAGCTGCTCTTGTGCCTGGCTCCGTGTTGGATGACGTGGGGAACAGACTAGTGACCCAGACAGCTCCCAGCTGCACCCTCACGGCCTCCCAGGACAGTGCGCCAGACAGCACCAACCAGGGTGTCAGGGCTGGGGTGCTCTGGTGCAGAGGGGCCAGGGCGGGGGTGCTCCTCTTTGGGTGGGGGGGGGACACCACACTGTACAGCATCTCTAAATAAGACCCTTTGCCTGGCACTGGGTACACAGGTGACCAAGACGGACCTGTTCCTCCCTTTCAGAGTAGAAGCAACAGGTCCTCATTCAATCAATAACCTCTTTCTCCACCCACAGCTGTATAGCTACTAACCGCCAGGTTTGAATCCTGGCCCTGCCACTTGCCAGCCATGTGACCTCAGGCCCGTCACCACACTTCTCCAGGCCTCAGTCTCTCCATCTGTAAAATGGAGGAAGATCTAGTCCCTTCCTTTCGTGGTTGGAGAATTTGATGAGTTAAAATGAGCAAAGGGGTTGGCACATAGAAGCACATTCGGTTCTAAATCAGAACAAGAGGTGGGGGAGGGGCCGCGCCTGGGGCTAGGGAGTCTTCCTGAGGAAGATGAGCCAAAATAGAGAATTAAGTAGTTATCCTCGGCAGAGGGTTGGGTGCAGGGGAATAGGGCACTCTAGCGACCTGGAAGGCCAGTGTGGCTAGCGGCAGAAAGCATGATGAGCTGGGGCTGGGAGAGTTTAATCCCTATCCTGTGAGCAACTAGGAGCTGCTGGAAGCTTCTCTGGAGGCGAGTGGTTAAGCCCCGGTTTGCATTTTGAAAGGCAAGGCTTCCTAGGCTCCGTGGGAACAGACGCTGGGGGGCAGCAAGGGGTCTGGTGAGGCTCCTGCAGGTGTCCAGAGAGAGGCGGGTCCTTTAGAAGAGGCTGGTCACCAGTGAGAAATGGCTGGATGCAACACTGAGGTGAGGCAGCCAGGCAGGACCTGTGGGCCGAGCTGTGGCCAAGTCTCTTCCCTGGAGAGGGAGCTTGTCTGGTTGGCTCCCGGCTTGAACCCCAGCCACACATCAGGAGCCCAATACTGGGGGGGTGGGCGTGGGAGAAGGGGATTGGGACCGGACGGACGGGTGGGAGGGGGCCTCCGCGTGGAGGATCTCTGGCTGGAGGTCCTTGGGAACGGAGCCCACACTTGGCGGGCTCTTGCAAAGGGAGAAACCGGAGCACCCTTCACGTGGTGACAGAGCCCAGCTGTGGCCGTGGCCCTGTCAGCCGGCCTCAGGGCTGCAGCGGGCTAGTGGCTGGAGTCCCCCGGTCTGAGGAGCAGGGCCTGGCCACAGAGGCCGGCCCGCACCCCGCCTGCAGGCACCACGTACGCCCGGCCGTCGGCGGCCCGTGACGGCGAGAAGTCCGTCAGCTGTAGGTTGCTGTCCCGGACCTGGTCGTAGTCCCACAGCTGGTAATGCCAACTCTTGCCCTGCTTGGAGAGGAGGTAGACGGCTCCTGGGGAGCCTTCCTCTGGCAGGGCTGGTGGCTGGCGGGGCATGCTGGGCACTGGGTGGAACAGACCTGGCAGCTCGGGGTCCTCAGAGTAGCCGAGGCCTGGCACGGCCCGCACACCCAGCAGGACCCCTGGGAGGAGAGGGGAGGCTGTGAGCGGGAGCGAGCGCGGACTCGGTACTGGGGCTTCGCCAAGCTCCCCCCACGGCCCTTCAGGGTAGCAGTCGGCAGGGCGACGAGCACACAGCGGAGCTGGCACTGGACCCAGGGTGTCTGGCTCCAGGGCTGCGGGCTTTGAAGTCCTGCCTCCTACAACCCAGTAGCCCAGGGAGGGGAGATGCTGTTCAACAAAGCAGGCACCATCACCCAGTGGTTTCCTGCTGTCTAGTAAAAGGAAGCTCAGAGAAGCCCTTGAGGCCATGGACCCAGCATGGGGGAGCCTCCAGGCCACCTAGCATGCAAATCAGCCTTCTTGCAGGCAGGCAGAATGAGGCCAAGGCCGATGGATGCCAGCGCTGACGGACACGTGCAATGTGCCTGCGCCGGTTAGACTTTTATATGCTTTGCCTGCTGTCACCCCGATTTCCAGATGGAGGAAGGAAGGCCCAGAGTCACAGAGCCCGGAAGTGGCTGGAGCAGATCTGGAGCCCAAACTGTTTGATCCTGAAGTCTGTGTTCCGAGCTTGTTTGTGGAAACCCTGACTGGCAGATACTGAGGCACCTGCCACCTGCCAGGTCCCTACTAAGCATCCTGTAGGGATGGGGACAGCCCAGCCCTGGTCCCCACCTTGAGTACGGGAGAAGTGCCAGTGTCAGGTTGAAAGTGCGGGAGGTGATGAGGGGGCTGGGGACAAACAGGGTGAGCATACAGGAGTATGGGAGGGGAGACCCACCTGTGCTCACTGCCCAGTGGGCCTTGTGGCCCTTCCTCTGACACGGCTCGTGGTTGAAGTCCTCGTCGTAGCTGGTGCCGGGGGGGTTAAGGCCAAAGCTGTGGTGTGGCCCTGGGATCCACCCTTCTCCATCCCCACCCAGCTCCCCTCTGGGCCGTGGGATACGGGATGAGCATGGGGTGTCCGGAGACAAGGTGCTGCAGGACACGGGCTCTGTTGGGACCGCCCAGGCCACCGTGGAGCTGCTCAGCCTGGCAGCCCAGTGCCTCCCAGGCCAGCTTGCCCATGTCGGCCACTGCAGGGGTGACAGAGACAGAAGGATCGCTGTGTGCCTGGCTGCAAGCCGTGGGCTAACTGGGGATCGGCACCTCGAATCATCACTGCAACTGCCACGTCTTTGTACAAATGCAGAAAATGAGGCACAGAGAGGGTAAGCTGCTTGTCCCCAGCCACCCAGCAGGAAGGGGCAGCGCTGGGCTGGGAATGAAGACAACCTGCCTCCAGAAGGGCCTGAGGACTGGAACAGGGTCCCCTCACAGGACTGGCTTGAGACCCTTCTGCACCCAACTCACCGGAGAACATCTCTCCCTGGGCCGTGTAGCCTCTCTCCACGGCCATCTGCACAAGTCTCTCCAGGGGGATGCCACTGGGTGGTGCCAGCAGTGTGCCTGCCATCCACAAGGCCACCAGCCCGCACCTGGGGAGAGACAGGCCCAGTCGCTCAACCCCTAAGTCATGTCTTTACCAAGCCCCCTCTGCCCTGGCAGCTGGAGTGTAAGGAATAGGTCGACTCTGCTGGGGGAGTTTCCCTTTTCCCAGGCCTGGTGGGCTGCAGGGAGGGTGGGAAGGTAGGGAGAGGTCACCTGGGCTTCCAGAAGGAGGAGGTGCTGAAGTGGAGTCAGAGATAAGACGGTTCACTTGCTTGCTCACTTGTTCATCCATTCCAACAGTTTACTGCGCATGCACCCGGGACCCCACCCTCCAGCCGCCCTTTCCCTCCCCTCTGCCTCTTCCCAAGATGCCTGGGAAGAACCCACACCTCCCACCCGACAAATCGGTCCTCAGGAAGCATAGCAAAGGCAGAGAGGGATCGGAGTCACAGATAAGGGCACATACTGAGGGCCTTCCTGGATGAGGGAGGGCAGGTCGGCACAGAAGAGGATCCATTGCAAGTCACTTCTGAAACTGAATCAGAGCGTGCTCAGGTCACATGGGAACCAGCTCCTAGATCCCCCCTTGAGGTATGACTGGGAGTGGAGTGTTGAGGGATGGGGAAAGGAACCCAGGTCTGGCTGTCCTAAGGCTGGAGGGCAGCTCCAGGCTCTGATGCTGACTTCCTTCTCCCTGATGAGGCATGTCTCCCTTCCCGAGCCTCCGAGTCCTCATCTGCTCAGTGGGAATCATCCTTCCACCTGCTCCTTCTCTTGGTTATTGAAAGAAGAACAGATGTGCAAAATGTTTGCAACTCAGAGCCAGAAAAATGGATTTACTAGAGGAAATTTCTCAAAGCTGGGGGGGGGTGTCTCTATACCCAAACCCTTCCTGTGATTTTTTCCCTTCTCAAGCCTGTTCTATAGGGATGAAAATCCCTTAACTCAGCCTAGAGTAGAACCAGTAAGAGGGTGCTCCACAGACCTAAGAGATCACCTGGATAGTGAGCTCTTGCAGGCCTGCCCAGCCCCACCCTTGGGGAAGTCACTCAGAAAGGTTTGATCTGGATGAGGCCCCAGGGCTCAGGAGGGGCTGGGCAACATGCGTATCCAGTATTTCTGTTCCAAGGCCAGTGAAAGAGCAAGGCTGGGCAGAAAACCCAAAGCTCCTGGTTCCCAGTTGGAAGCACCGTCCTGATGGAAGATGATAGCACAGCGGTTAAAAGCATGAAGGCCTGCTGCCAGAATGCCAACTGGGCTCAGAATTCTAAGTGCTGTGGGTAAGGGACTTCAGCTCCATGAGCCTCAGTTTCCTCATCTGGAATATGATAATAGTTCCCATCCTACAGAATCACTGAGAGGATGAAATCAATATCTAAACACACTTAGAATAGTGCCTGACAAATGTCCTAACCAAACATATTAGAAACTTGTCTAGAGAGCTAGAAGTTTCTTCCCTGAGTCTGGGCAATTCACTCATTGTTACACCGGGTCACCACAGCCCCAGCCTGGGCCTAGCCCCCTCCCGCCTGGATCTCTGGGTGCTCCAGCTTCCTCCTGAACCCCTTTACTGTCTCACCACCTCCAGTCCCCACAGGTAGCCTCCCTCCCTGTGCAAGGCCTTTCCGAAGCTCCCAGTGCCCTCAGGATAGTCCACCTCCCTCCACGTGGCGCCCGTGCCCTGTGTGATCTGGGCTCTTGTCCACCTGTTGAAACCCCATGTTTGGGGTGCCTGGGTGGCTCAGTCGTTAAGCGTTTGCCTTCGGCTCAGGTCACGATCCCAGAGTCCTGGGATCGAGCCCCGCATCGGGCTCCCTGCTCCGGGGGAAGCCTGCTTCTCCCTCTCCCACTCCCCCTGCTTGTGTTCCCTCTCTCGCTGTGTCTCTGTCAAATAAATAATCTTAAAAAAAAAAAAAAAAGAAACCCCATGTTTACCACCTCCCCTGTCCTGTTACAGAAATATTTGCAGATCCTTGAGAAGAACACCTCTCCATTTCAGCCTGCAACTCTGCACGGGCTGTTCATTCTCCTCATCACACCCGGGACAGTTCTCAGGCCCCCTTAACCCCCAGCCTTGGCCAGGCCCGCCCTGGGGGCTCCCTCATTACAGCTCTGACCACTCTGGGCTGTCACTGGTGAGGGAGGGATCTGTCTCTGCCACTGGACTAGGTGCCTTGAGGGCAGGATCTCTCTTCTTTGGTGAAGGCGTGCCCTGAATGGGTCTAAGTAGGGAGCTGAGGCACACAGGCTCTTTGACCTTGAGGAAATGGGAAACCCCAAGAGAAGACGGCTGAAGTGACCTGGGGACAGGTGGTTCGGTGATGGGAAACCCCAAGAGAAGACGGCTGAAGTGACCTGGGGACAGGTGGTTCGGTGAGACCCTACCGGTCCTTGTGCAGCTTCAGGAGCCTCTTCACGTCATCTCTGCTCCTGGGGACTGGGCTGGCCTTCTCTAAGGCCTCCTTCAGGAGGTGACTCTTCTCTAGGCCGAAGACGTGGGGGGGAGCCAGTGCCCTCACAGGGGGTGGAGGTGGGGGGATAGGGGCCTGGGGACTTGAGGGGGATGGAAAAGCTAAATTGGGGACATTTGGGGGTAGAGGAAGTGGAGTGATGGGGGCTTGGGGAACAGGGGTTTGTGGAGGGGCTGGGGGCTCTATCGGAGGAGAGCACGGAGAAATCATTTTGGGGTCTATGGCATGCAAGTGCTGGAAGGTCAAGAATCGGGGCGGGATGGATGCTCTAAAATGAGTTAGTCACAGGGATGGACGTTCTGAAGGTTTTAGCGCGGAGTTCCAGAACTTGTGTGCTGAGCAATGAGCCCGAAAGGACCAGGACTGATATTTGGAACCATGGAAGCAGGGGGTTAACAGGGCGGGTCCTTTATCCGGAACTAGATTTGTGGTTTGGGGCTGGGTTGCAAGGCTCAAGAAGGGGGATTTAGTTAAGGGTTACTGTATAACCCCGGAAAGGTTTGTAAAACTCCGGAGTCAATTTTGGGAAAATGAATGCTCGGATCTGGGGTGGGGTGCCTAAAGAGTGGGGTTTGGGGGGTCCAGGGCTAAAGACTAGGGAATTTTGGCTCTGTAACCCCTCACATCCCAGGCCCGAGCTCGGAACCTTGGAGCTGACCTTTGAATCAGAGGTCAGGAGATCAAAAGGACACCTGGCAGGGAGAATGGCTTAGTCGTGGAGAAGGTCCTGGAATCAGCGCAAAAGGAAAAGTCCCCTCCATTGGGGAAGGGTCAGAGATCGGAGGACGCTGAGAGCCGCGATACCGCCGGGATAGGTAACGGAGCCAGAAAGTAAAACGCACCTCCCCTTCCAGCAAAATGGCGGCCGCAGCACACATTTTTCCCATATCACGTGGCGGGACTCGCCACTCGTGCCCGCCCCCATAGCGTCACGTGATGAGAGAAGGCGGGGCGGTGGGTGGGAAAGGAGAGGCTTTTAAAGGACCGCCCCCCCGGAAGAGACTGAAGCGCGAGCGACTTCTCCATTGGCATGAAGCGCGTGAGGGGCCGCGGCCTTCGCTGATTGGTCCGTAGACCCTCAGTGCCGGGTCGGGCGGGGTTTTTCAGCCGAGGCGGGAACCCAAATGTCGTTTTTGATTGGCAAGGTTTGGGGGCGCGACTGACTCTGATTGGTCAAGGTACTGAGTTTCCGCGCGGGATTGGCTTGCGGAAAGATAAAGGCGGGACCAGGAGAGGAAGCTTTGGTAGTCGGCTCTCAGAAACGTAGGAGGTGACTCTTGCAGGAGCTGCGGCTCTGTTGGTGAGTAATCTCGGGCAATGGCGGCCATCGACGCCGGGCGAGCGGAGCGCTTGCCACCTGGGCCTTCTCGTGCCTCGTGTGGGGAAACTATCTTCCCGCTGCGCGAGGTTAGGGCGCTTCAGTCGTGTCTTTCCTTAACTGACTCGTACATCCGGGTTTTTTTCTGCTGGGCCGTCCTTTGAGCTCGTGGGCCAATGGGGTTCGCCACTTAGAACGCTCCGCCTACTGGGTCGCGTAGAGCATCTTGGGACTCGTAGTAAACATCTCGAGATCTCCCTCTACCACGCGGGGAGCAGAAGCTGTCCAGCTTTCGCTTTGTTTTCCAAACTGTGCCTCCTTCCGCCTCTCCCGACTTCCTCCTGGGAGGAAGATCCCTGAGCAGCCCGTTAAGCCCGTTTTGGGACAGAGGATTTGGAGAAACCCAGGGCTGAAGTTACCTTTTTTCCTTCTTTCAGCTCTACCTCGGCATCTATCTCCATGGCAGTTCCCGAGACCCGCCCCAACCACACTATTTATATCAACAACCTCAACGAGAAGATCAAGAAGGATGGTGAGTTCTGGGGATAGTCCAGACTCCAGGTTACCTCGCACGAGCCGGCCCCCTCTTGCATACCACGCCCGCATTCACTTCTCTTCCTTCGCTTTCTCCAGGCAAACCGTCAGTTAATCCTTCAGCCTTTGCACACACTGCTTCCTGTGTCTTTAACGCGCCTCCAGTCCATCTTGTACTCTGGCCATTAGCCTGGTCACTGTTGTTCGTCTTTGAAGGTTTCAGCTCACAGGACTCCTCCAAGAACCCTTCGGCGTCCCCTTTCCCCTCAGGTGCCTGCCTCTGACTTCCCAGAGGCGCTGGACATGTCCCGCTCAAGCCCTGATGGTTCTGGGCTGTTACGGGGTTGTCTGCACTGGTGTGTGAGCTCCATGAGAGTAAGCGCTGGGATGGTCTTGGTCACCGTCATGTACTCAGTGATCAGCCCACTGTGGAGGTGTTTGATTTCAAAAAGGAAATGAAATAAGAGTTAGATGGCTAACACCATCATCAGGTACTGATATGTACATCTTTATTAAGTTAAATTCTCACAATATTTCAGGAAGGAGCTGTTACTTCTCTTTCTCAGATTAGGAATCAGACTCAGGTGATGTGACTGGCCCAGGGTCACACAACAAGGTAAAGTGGTGGAGGCCACCAGTGTGGAATTCTGCTTAAGAACTCTATTCTTGACATTGGACGTATTTTTCCATTTTCTTTATCACCTTTATTGAGTTTCATTTTCTATATTTGAAAATTGAGGGCGCCTGGGTGGCTCAGTTGGTTAAGCGACTGCCTTCGGCTCAGGTCGTGATCCTGGAGTCCCTGGATCGAGTCCCGCATCGGGCTCCCTGCTCGGCAGGGAGTCTGCTTCTCCCTCTGACCCTCCCCTCTCTCCTGCTCTCTCTCTCTCATTCTCTCTCTCAAATAAATAAATAAAATCTTAAAAAAAAAAGAAAATTGAACAAAGCCTTAGTACTTTCTTTGCATGGATGTTACATGGATTACATTAGCCAAACATCCATGCAGTGCTTCCTTTTATGGTATCCAGTCGTTAGTAAGGGCTGGATAAAATTTATCGCTTATTATCCCCTTAAGAAAATTCTTGGGGTGGGGGTGCCTGGGTGGCTCAGTCGGTTAAGCGTCTGCCTTCGGCTCAGGTCATGATCCCAGGGTCCTGGGATAGAGCCCTGCATCGGGCTCCTTGCTCAGTGGGGAACCTGCTTCTCCCTCTCCCTCTCCCTCTGCCTGCCGCTCCCCCTGTTTGTACACTCTCTCTGTGTCAAATAAATAAATAAGGGGTGCCTGGGTGGCTCAGTTGTTAAGTGTCTGCCTTCGGCTCAGGTCATGATCCTGGAGTCCCGGGATCGAGTCCCGCATCGGGCTCCCTGCTCGGCAGGGAGTCTGCTTCTCCCTCTGACCCTCCTCCCTCTCATGCTCTCTGTCTCTCATTCTGTCTCAAATAAATAAATAAAAAAAATCTTAAAAAAAAAATAATAAAAAATAAATAAATAAAATCTTAAAAAAAAAAAAATTCTGGCGGGGGTGGAGAAAATTCTCGGGGAGAACCAAAGGAGTTTGCTGGAATTAAGTTTGAGCTGTTGAAGAAAACCAGACAAGCCATGTAAATCCCCTTGTGCCTTTAGAGTATCGTGCCCAGCCAGTACTCTGTGGTGCTGGGGAAACACTGGTGACAGACAGTCCTGGTCCTGCCTTCATGGGGCCACAGTCCAGTGGGGAGGGCAGACCTGCTTCCAGACAGTGGTAGCCCAGAGTAGCCATGGCCGTGATTGGGGAAGCATAGGCAGAGTGGTCAGGACTGGGATGGGGCATCCCGACAGAGGGGTTTGTTCTCTCTCATAGAAGAGGAGACGTTTCAGAGAAGCCTTCCAGGTAGGGGAAGCACAGTGTATATGTCGTGGTGAGGGAGAAGAGTGTTCCGAACCTGGACCAACATGTGCAGATGTCTAGTGGCAAAAGAGAGCCCAGGCCATTCTGGAAACGACAAGCAGTTTTGTGTGACTGAGGCTTGTGACACAGGGAGAACCTTTCAGTGAGCAGTGCACTGATGGTTTGTGGGATCTTATGGGCGGGTGGGCCGTTAGACTTTGTCCTGAGGCCATCAGGGAGCCAGGCGAGGGACACAGTCTGGTGTGAGGACAACGTATGGAGGGTGAACTTGAGTGGGCGGAAAGGGAGAGAGGCCCAGAGTCCAGGGGAATGACCGAGGCCCAAACTGGGTTCATGGGGGTGGAGAGAAACACCAGAAATGGCATCAGGAGAATTTTGGGCAAATTTTGCCAAAACACATTTTGCTTCCCTCTTTACCCCACTATTTTCTTTTCTTCCCTCACCTAGTCTTTCAGCAGGTGTCTTCAGCTCAGATGCCTCCTTTGTTTTGTTTTTTGTTTTTTGTTTTTGTTTTTTAAAGATTTTATTTATTTATTTGAGAGAGAGAGAGCACGAGCAGGGGGAAGAGACAGAGGGAGAGGGAGAAACAGACTCCCTGGTGAGCAGGGAGCCCGATGCGGGACTTGATCCCAAGACCCTGAGATCATGACCTGAGCCAAAGGCAGACGCTTAACCGACTGAGCCACCCAGGCATCCCTGTTGTTGTTTTTTTAAGGATTTTATTTGTCAGAGAGCACAAGCAGGGGGAGTGGCAGGCAGAGAGAGGGAGAAGCAGGCTCCCCGCTGAGCAGAGAGCCTGATGTGGGGCTCGATCCCAGACCCTGGGATAATGACCTGAGCCGAAGGTAGACCCCCAACTGATTGAGCCCCCCAGGCGTCCCTCAGATGCCTTCTTTGCATAAGATTGTTTTTTTTTCTGTCAGGTGTGGTGGTAGTTTGTTTGTGAGATATGGTGGCAGGGGGTTCAGATGGACTTGGGTCCCCGTCCCCGCTCTGTAGCTTCTTCCCAGTACCTTCAGGGCACTCCTGAGCCAGCAGTGAATCCTCTGAGTGCCTGTTTCCCTGTTCGTAAAATTGAGACCGTTCTGGTCGCTGTCTCACGAAGTGGTGGTGAGAACTTAGTGAAGTTTTTTCCGTAAAACATTTAGTGGTCTCTTTCTTCATGCAAATGTTCTTGGTGAAGCCTGGGTGCTAGAATCTGCACTGAGCCTGGGGCCACTGCAGTAAGCCAACTGGAGGGGCTTGTAGTTAAG